TGTAAGATTGAAATCAAGTTAAAAGAGACAAATATGGAATTAAAATCCCTAATTTTCAAAATAAGATGGAAGTGTTATTAGATAAGCAGATTCAACACCGATCGTTCGACGATACTATATTTTTAACGTTGATTATGGCAGTTTCCTAAATAAACGTTGTTGTTTTTTAAACCGTCAGAAAAGTAAGCGTATTAAAAAAATTATAAACAACATTCACTATCAAGACATAATATAAACTTTAAAAAGTCTGAAATTTTATCCTCTAAAATACCAAAATATATTGAATACTCTTACTCTTAATGAGTTTTGTTGGATGCTCACGTGACTCAGGTGGGTAAAATGTAAAGATATTTTCTTCCTGATAATATTGATTTCTCATTCATTTTATATTTATTTTATACTCCTAAACATTTTCCTAACCAAATATATTAGATTCAAAATTGAAAATTAACTAAACCCTCAAAATGACTTACGTCTTCCACTGTCAACTTCCGAATCTGAGATAATCTCTCCACAACGTTGCAAAGAATATGCCAGAATTGTGTGCAGTGTTGACCAATTTAAAATAAATTTTTCTATAAAATGTTTTTAAAAAAAAAAAGGATTCGTATTACAAAATGTTTTAGTATAATTTAACCTTGGTACAAACGTGACTGGCTTTGACAATACTACTGAAATACCATAAAACATGTGTGGACCGCATTGTTTGACTGGAACGTAAATTTTCAAATTCAGTAATTGAAAGTAAAACGTGTTACAATACGTTGTGCTACTTTCAGGATGTAATTATATTTTTATGTCAAATTCATGACAGCAATTTCCTACTTTTTAAAAATATGTGGAAGACCCGATAGAATTTTGCAACGGTTTTATTTCAATTTCACTTGATAACGAGCTATTTAGAAAATAATACAATAACAGCCACACTAATGATCTATTCAATTCATGCAGCGACCCTCATCCAAAATAGTCGTAATCTCACTAATCATGGTGTCTAGAAATAATGAATGAATGCATTGAAAACTGATTTCTCCATATGGAAGGTTTTCAATAACTTCGTCAGGATTAATATGAGCATAGATGAGTTCTGAACATTAAAGCCCATGGAAACTTCCGTGGTATACGTTATTTTTGATTGACAGGTAATTTAACTTTCAAGTAACATTTCGACATACTAGGACCAGTAATTTTGCGTACATTTTGCCTCATTCAATTTGCGGGGCATTAGGCCAATTTCTTTTTAGTTCTTTATTTAATATATGAAACAAATCAAATGCAATTCTTGAACAAACCGTATGTAAATTTTCAAACGGAAAACCTGTAAAGTATCACAACCGTTTTCAGTAAAAAGGTACATTATTTCGGAATTTTCAAATTCATTTTGTGGTTAACTTATTTTTGCAGTAAGCAATTGGTTGCTGAATATTATAAAAAACAAACTATAGGTAATGTAAAGATAAATCTCTTCAAATTCCATACTGGTAATTTAATTAACTTCTCAGTGGCAGACAGCGTCTGTTATTGCCAAAATAAAACCTTGACAGTTGAAATAAGGTTCATGACTATAAATTCTCAAACATACAGAGCTTTCCAAAATTTAACGGTCAACAAACAGAGGAACCATATTTCAATTTATCCGATATTTAATTTGATTCTGCGTTTTATTTGGTCGTTTAATTTCACATTAGCCGAAATATTGTTGTGACATGTAATTGACTGGTTTCGACAAATATTTTACCACGATTGGTGTACAACACGAGCGATTCCATGACATGTCTGGGAAAAATTATTTTAGGACTGACATGTTGTGATTTTTTTGCTTTGTAAAAATAATCCATTTTTCTAAAAATCACATCAATCAACATTTCAATACTTTTATTGTTTCCCTGTCACTTTAAAATTAATTTCACAGTAAAATTAATTTCACAATAAATATCACAGACCGGGGAAAGGGTTCACTCATTTATTGAATCACATTTACCTAGTGCTGCCCGCTAGATGGTGCTGGATTTCAAATATTCGATTGTTGATTAAAATATATATACTGTATTTAATGTAGCATATAGTAATTACATATTTAAATTCAAAACTGTTGAAAACTGTAATTTTGTTGATTTCTGAAAAAAAAATTGTTATCATGAAGCAAGAATGATCTTTTGTTAAACTTTGAATTTTGACTCTCATTCACTCGTAGTTACTAAACAATAACGTTTATTTTAAATCCATCTTGATATCAAATTAGTCAATTATAAAGCTCGTAATATATCAAACAGGCTATATTTCAGATTAGAAATATGACTTCAACTGTCAGATATTACAAATATACACCAATTTTTTAGAAGAGCGATAAAATATGTGAGATATTCTCTGTAATGATAAGATATAGGTTAACCACATAAATTATTGTTATCATTTTTCATCTATTATTCGACACGGAGTGGACATACCGATATTGTTGTCAGTATGTGTTGTTGTTAGAATTCTTGTTGTTGTTTTTCGCTAGAAGGCTTCTGCTTTTATTTTTAGGCTTTACGTGATTCGTTTTTTGTGCGATGACGTCATCAAAATTGAAATTGCGCACCATGCGGTTCCGCGTTCGCATTAGTGGTCTGGCGACTGCGATAATAATCGGTATTCTAATGTGATCGATTGCATACTCGTACTACTTAGTTTTGGGTTTCGTGTCCATATTTTTGAGCATCCCTCTCTTGTTTATTATGGTAATTGAAAAAATCATGTAGAATTAATATTAAAATTTTTTACTTCAAAGTAATCAAGCAATGAATTGAAATTTAAAGCACAAACATACATGTAAATATGCAATGTGCCTACCTCAATAATTCTTATAACATTTTATTTAGTATGATAAAATTAACCTCCAATGCTCGATTACTTATATAATTGATGCTATATGAATGTGTAGTCACAATAAATTTCGTATCAGAACATGCTCGTCATACACAACTTTATTTTTTATTGACGTTGCACGTTTTCTTGTCCCAAATATTTTTTATGCGAAATATACAAAACAAAATATCAATTCAAACCTGAATAAACCTGTTTGTAAAAACTGTCAGCTTTTTACGTCAGTTTAGTCTTAATATATCCGTTTTAAGGCCAGAATGATTGATGCAAAGAAAGTATCATGAGCCAGAAAGCCTTGATGATTAAGCACTCAAACTTTTAAATTTGTTTTTGTGAAAGCGCGTTTTTTGAAAATATTAGTTTATATATAAAAAAATATAACTTTCATTTCGCAATTCTTTTTGTTGTCACTATTTGTATGTATTGGAAGTATTCAAATGATCATAATACGTTGAATTGTACATAAAATTCGATTGCAATACCAATCATTTGTTTTGTGCTAATACGAGTTAACAGAAATAATTGACAATCTAGTATCTTCTTTAAACCTGTAAAACCTGTCGAAATCGAAAACGATGGATCAACATATTTGCTTAAAAAAAATTATTAGAAATACAAGATAGCAATATAAAATATATGGTCTCGAACGCCAAAACGAAGTAGTACGGGTATGCAGTCCATCACATTAGGTAACCGCCACAAATCGCGCAATTTTGAATTTTGATGACGTCATCAAGCACAAAAAAGAATCCCATAGAGTCCACAGAAAGTTTTGAAATTGCAAAAAGTAAATAAATAAAAAAAAAAAAAATCATTAAGTACTGAAAACTTGAAAATAAAAAAATTGGTCCACTAGTTAATCAAAAAATAAACATTTTTTTCAGAACAAGAACAGCATCATAATATTAATAAAACGATCAACATGTCCACTCAGTTTCCAAAAAAAAAAACATTATTAGATACACAGAATTAAACAAACATTTAGGCATTATCAATAGAAAATAGAAATGCAATAATGCAATAAAAACCAAAAAAAAAAGGAAAATTTAACTTAGTTTATCTGTTCTGTGCATAAATTTGTCTTGTATTAATATTTTTGAAAATTTTGATCGAGATATGGCCATTTGCAGTCAAAAATATACAAAACGATCAATAAATGAAACTTTTGATTAGTAATTCATATTGAGATATTGAGCCTACCTATTGCGTTGGAAGCTGTATACAATATCTACTTAACTTTAGCAAGATGAAAATTAAAAAAATATATAATGGATGACTGACAGCTTTGTGACAAGTACTAATCTTTACAAATATGATAAAGATTTTATTTAAGCTTTGTTAAATATACATTGAAACGCTAAGAGCAGATGTGACAAAACGTATTATGTTTTGGAAATATTATCGCCAGTGTAAGACTTCTGACAGTAGATACAAACATACTTCATATAAAGATACACAATGTCAGCTACACGGCGTCGTGTGTCATTGTTTTATCTTGACATTCTCAATGAAATTAAAAAAATGTTGGTATGTGAATATTGCTTTTCTGATATTTAGTTTAATTAAAACCTCGCGGTCGTTATTTATATCATACAATAAATCAGAATTACTAACTATGAAGACGTTGGAAATCAATGCAGGTTGAATATTTGACGAAGCATCGAACAGGGCAAGGATATATATATATATATATTTAAATTGTACAAGTTTTTGTTTATAATATATAAGTTTTATCAAAGCAATGCCCCAAGCCTTCACCAAAAAGTGGAAACAATACTCATAGAAAGTAGCAAACGGCACGCACGTAAGGTATAAATATATGTATATATATAAATATATTGGTTCCAACGATAGTTAATACAAATTTGCTGTTCAATCGAGGTAAATGTGGATTCATATATAAATACCTTGAATCAATCTGGCAAGGACGCCAAATTGGTATAAAAAATTGAGAAAAAATGTTTAAACAAACGACAATAAAACCGCGCCCTCGCATAATAAAAAGAGGAAAAGTACATGTGCATAGACAAACATTAGCCGTCCGTGATTCCTAAAAATGTAAGGTTTATTTAGATAGCTATTTCTGAACTATTCTATTGTTGAATATGCTTCAATATGATAGCATACAGTATTATTATTTTGAATCTATTGTTTTCTATTTTATCCACATTTTTAGATAATATTAACAAGACCATCAATATCATATTTTGAGTTAATTATATTTTAATTGCAAATGTTTATAGTAAAAATAAAATTCAGCTTACATAAGCTTACATAAGCCTTAACCATTTTTATTTTAAATATATTAGAGGCATATTTACAACGTTAATATAAAAATGCATACTATTTATGTTGTGATGTTGTTAATTGCAATCTCAGTAAGAGGAGAACCAAGAAGCTGTAATAAAATCTCGCCCTACAAAAACACAGACTGGACCGAAGTAAGTTTGTTGCGAACGTTTGACTACGTATTTCCCGCAAAAAAGAATGTTATCACCGATGTATTCAGATTTCGATAATAGATGTGCATTATTAAATCGAAACTGTTCAATACAGCTTATATATCTGGAATAAAAAGTAGAAAAGGGGGTTTGAAGTTCGAAATTGAAGATCTTTCAACGGATTGGCGCTCTGATGCTAAGTTAGGAGAATTTTAACATTAGTCACTCATACACATTGATATTAGCAGATTGATTTATAACAAATTTGGCCTTTGTTTATGCATTATATTTATAAAAGTATGAATGAGGTAATTAAATCATTAAATAATTTTCAGTTGCTTGGATCATGGTATCACCTGCTGCACATTCCTGGTGCAAGTTTTTTCTTGACATGCAAGCATATGTCAATTAACGATGTAGATCTGGATTCAAAGATTGTGAACGTCGAGTTTTCTAGCATGGGAACGTAAGAAATATTTATACATATATTACATTTTGCATCTTAAATTTGAAATAATATTGTGATATATTTTGAGTTCCCAATACCTTTCTGCTTGATTCTAATTTTATATTGTATTTACTCAGTTTTGCCAGTATGCTCATATGATAGTTTATAATTGCAGATACAACAACAATCCTCGTTTATTACAGCACAATTCTGTTTATTTTAAATGGGAAACAAACAAAGCTGTTATTTATACTGGATTAAATACAGGTAATATTATTAATTTAGTTATTTGTTTAAATAACTGTTTAACAGAAATAAATTTTTAATTTATAACACTATTACAATCTACAAAATAAATGGGTTGGATTGTTATATTCTTTCCTATTTACTAGAGAAAATTTTTTTATATATTTGTCATTATTTTAGTTGTTCTATTTTTATTTATTTATTTCTATATTAATTTCGGTATATTTACATCAAAAAATTTAATTGTCAGATCGAAGAAAACAAAAGATTTCAAGTAAATTCTCACTGATAAGAAAATTGTGGAAAACAGGTAAAATTAATTACTGGAGCATTTCAATCTAAATAAAATATTAAAAAAAAAATTTTTCTCAATGCGCAATAAATAATGTAATGGACCCGGCCAATCAAACTTTAGTACTCGGAGAGTGAAGAGTTCTACATTCAGATCATGCGAGCACCCTCCAATTTTACGTGTATAATTAATATAAATTATTGTGAGAAAATATTTAAACATATTATTAAATTAGTTGTTAAATGTTGCTCATGATAATTTTCAGTAATATAAGGTGACTGGATATATTGATTAAAACTTATTTAAATATTATCATTTATAGTTTTATTTTTGAAAGTGAAATGTAATATTAAAACAAAACATTTTTTTATGTTACAGAACTAAAATCAATTTATACTCTCATATCTACGGATTACAAAAATTATATGATTATGGTTCAATGTACAAATTATGGTAAGAGAAGCATTAATTTATTTGAAAAATGTTTTTTTCTTTATCATAACATGTAAAGAAATGCAACTGATTTAAAGCGTTTATTTCAACATATCCCATATGTTAACTGATTCTGTATATCAGATATTGATAATGATAATTGATAAATAAAATAAAGAAGTTGAAATATAAATAGTTTTTAAAGGATTGATATTGCCAAATTACCTAAGTTTTTTTTAAATAATTCTACAAAACAGTGCATGCAGAGAGAGAAACATAATTCCACTTTATCAGATATACAAATATTACTGAAACTTGACATCAACTTTTATAAAATGTCAGCGGAGCATTTGCCTTCGACAAATTATTTTACACGTTTAAATAAATAGTGTCCATATCAGCGATTTATCATTTTATAGCTATTTTCTCGAATCAAAAATATGTCTTTGAATTCTGTACCTGATTTTAAAATTATTTGATTTAATTTAGCTATTCCAAACGTCTGGATTTCGATCAAAAACCTCGATGTTGATGATCGTTTGGCGGACAGTATTCTTCGAAGTCTTTCATCAGCTGGATTAAACGCTAACAATTTGAATTTCAATTCAACAGAAATATGTTCTTATTGAATTTCGTATATTTTTACTTATGGTATGTCTATCAATTTGTTCTCGCATTTTCAGTATTGACAATAAATTAAAAGCAAGTATATTTTCAATTATTCTATTCAATCTGGAGGGTCAAGCGCGGTGCTAGTTTGTTGCGTAACACTCGTGGCTGCATTGCAGGTCTATTGCCTGTTACACATTGTTATATTGAAGTTTTAAAAAAAGGCAGTTTATGCAATATGTCCAGTTTTGTATTCTTATATTATAGTTATATATGGCTTGGTTTTCTAAATAAGGAAACGCATATGTGTCCCAGTAACAGTGTTTTATTTTAATAATTTTCTTGTTATTACTAATTCTAGTCGAAAAATAACAAAAAGTGAAAATAAACATTGAAAACGCGCTAAAAAGGAAAACAATAGTATGTCTTTTAGGTCATGTTGTGATTTTCATTAGGCTGTATCTGTATGTGTTCATATACCAATAGTCAGACTTCCTCACACACGCAGTTTGTTGTAAATCAAGACTCTTGAATTGCATACTACAGTCTTTATTGTGGGAATTAATTTTACAGGACCGCTGAAATTCAAATATTTTTGCTAATAATAATTTTGCTCAAAATTAATACTTAGAAGTAATTTTCAAATATATTCACAAAAAATCACATTCTTATTTTTACTGGTAAATATTTGAAATTCTTGAAATGACCTCACACCTGTTGACTACTCGATACTCATAACACTGATATCAGAAAATTGGTGTCATGTTACAGCCATTTAAACGGGCAAATGTGATGTGATATTTCACATCTGTTCTAGTTAAACCTCTAATGATTGACAGATTCCGGAACTTAATCAACACTATAAAAATTTAAAATCACGTACATTCTATGTTGGTGAAAACAACCTTTAGATGCCACAGTGTTTCCTATATTTCTTACATGTAGTCATGTTTAATAAAGCAAGGAAAAATATATTGAAATAGGGCAGATGAACTGCCTAAAACCATGCAAAAAACATGAAAGAATTTACTCAACCCAAAATAAGCTGGTGGCACATTTTTAGGAGTGGGTAGCATGGCATGTCAGTGTTTTCCATTTTTCAACTTCCCCAGGAACAAAATCAAAATAATGATAACACTACAATATAATAAAAATAAATTCAAAATAATCTGACTCATTATTTGTCGCATATTACATCTCAACCAATTACTGATTGTACAAAAAGGCAATATGTAGGAAATGTGTACAAAATGGGTAAACTCATAATTGTAAAATGAATAATACAAAAGTACTAAATAGAGCTTTATTATCAAGGTGCACCAAATTGCCAGATGCAAATACCTAGCCCCCACAAATATATAATTTATTTAAAAAAAAACGTGTTGCTATATTGATCCGCTCATAAATGAATGAAATATGAGATCTAGTTTTAACATCTGGGATTTATCATTCTACACCTGGGAAATTAGAATATTTTTATACGCACTCAATGCCTTATTTCAAGGGGTGAGATTAACTGATATGAATATGTTTTACAAACCGGCCGCAAGAGTCGGTCTTTGCATTCTATATGTCATAGACTTGATTATCCTGGCCATATGTTGTCAGACAGAATAGATTATTATCAGACATTAGACAGCGTTGTTATAAAAAAAATGAAAAAAAGAACAACTCAAATAATAAATTATTATTCTAGCAATAAATTCTTTACGCCAAAATCGTTCGAACTGTTACATGTTTGCCCGTGTATTTTATATGTAACAGTTTTGATCATTTTTACTGTGAGTTGTCTTTACATAGAGTGGATGCAAAAAACATATTATATATAATATTTAAATAGAAATGACAATAAACACGCCACGCCAAAATATTTCAAACTCGATATCTAAAGTCAATTATGTACTGATTTAAAAAAATGTTATTAACCGAGAAACCGAGTAACATGAATACGCTAAGACTAATTCACAATTCGATTCTTTGTTCTAAATTAGTGACCTCGTGATTGCATTCAACCTTGATCACCTACGGTTTGTGTATACTAGCCGGAGGCAGGAATTGGGATTCTAGACATCAATCATACGAATACTACAGTGATTAATTAGAAAATATCAAAAAAAATCCGAAGTCTTATTCGTTTTACAAGTTATATTTCATATTTATAAGTTTTTTTCATAATACTTTACTCGAAATTTAATGTCATTATAAATTAGAGCCCACCATAAACACTTAATGTGCATATTTGAAATTTGAAATTATTTTTTTCTAAACGGCAAAATACAATTTTCTCATATTCTAAACAGCGATTCAAAACTAAGCATTAAATAAATTATTTATATGTTTCAAATATATGTTTCGTGATTTTGATTTCCATGAACAATTTGCCACATCAATTCCAAGAAATTTATTCAAAAATACACTAAAACGACATAAAGTTGTCAGATATTATCAGTACAGATTTTAATCTATTCATCAAAACGTAGCATCAAAAACAAAATAGTTTTCACAAAATGGCGCCGAAATATATCAGTCCAAACTTAAACTGTATTTGACTTTCAATTTATTTAGATTATGTCTGCGTAGGTAGATTTTCTGCAATTTATCTTGTGTTTTCTGCTTCTGTAATCTAATGATATTATCGTGAAAAAGAGCCGTGAAATTGAAACAAAGTGCGCGAGTCAGACATCAAAATTGTATCTCGTATTATCTCAAATTTGGTTTTAAATGAGTTTCAATATTATTTAAAGAAGTAATGAGAATATCATCCCAGGATGCTGATCATATCAAATTTTAAGACTTGTTCAATATCTCAATTATTTGGTTATATTTGAACGTTCTTCGTTTATTTAAATTTTCAATTCTAATATGTAAAGCAGTGAGCAATCTGATAAAGAAAAGTTCGATAAACATGGTCAATGAATTCATGATTGTTTTTGATTCCTGCATGAATTTTGGGCTGAAAGTTTTGGGCTGGTAATTAACATAGGCATGACAAACCTGTATTATTCATTATACTACAGCTATAGCTATATAATAAGCAATATTATATTCCATGAAATTATTACACGCAAATAACATGAGAAATCCACCAGTTCAGAGCGATTCTATTCGCACCTTACTCCACCGTTGAGTTCACTCAATTTAACTTGATGAGTATAATCGTTATCGAGATTTGACTTGATAGATTATCTTGCGTTTATTGATTTTAATTCAATGTTAAATATTCTGAATATTCAACGTTTTACACACCCGTGACGTATTACTTCCTGCTCTTGTTTGAGTTTATCATTAATCGAAAAGGTATTTGTTGATAACAGTACTAACATTCCTAATAAGTAACTACATGAAAGGCTAATAACAAAAACGTATGAATATCAAAAAGTTAATATTGTGTCGATAATTTGTGAAGTATGATAATTTGGGCTGGGAATTTCAGGGAAAACACCTTAACCGTTAACCGGGTAAAATTAACCGGTTAACCGCCGCGTGACTTTTGACGTAATAATTTATAATTTCAGCTTGTTACGTCACAATGCTTATAAAGCATTTTTGCGTGTTCTTATCATCCCGGTATCGCTTCTTAAAATTATTCACGAATCGAGATAGTTTCATGATTGTTCTGCTGCAATAGATAGGCAGCGTGGTTCGGGCGTGTTGAAGTATTTTAGATATTGATTTCGTTGTTAAACGTCATTTATGTGACAAATTATCAGTGTTCGATGTGCAAATTTTACTTCGAGATATATATCATAAAGAAAAACGGCATCAACTGCGCACCTGTTGTATGACGTTGAATATCCGATTTTGCAATGAAATCGAGAACCATATATTTCGAAATCGACCGAAAACTGATTCTGAATTCATCATTGTCAAATTCCCATAATCAACTACCTTGGTACTTTCATTATTTTTCACGTTTATTGAGTCCTTACCCACACAGTTAGTAATATTCTTTTGAATTAAATGCCACAAGAGATAAATTTGCGATGACGTAATCATATTTGAAGAAATTGTACGGTATGAAGATGATTTGTACCTGAGATGTCAGTTAACGGTTAAAATAAATCGTAACCGTTAACCATCTGAAATCGGTTAACCGAATAACCATTCCCAGCCCTAATGATAATATAGTCCAATTTAAGAATTTAGAAACAGCTTCAGCGTTCAATGTTATTGAACAGCATTTCAGATATTGTCGGCAGTGATATTATTTGTGACACTCGTAACAACAAAAGATTCATTCATCATCTATGACGTGCTTTCATGCATATTTTACTGACACCCAAAATAAATTAAAAATATTTTCAATTTGTCAATTTGTTATTAGTTATGTTGAAAAATTGTAATAAATATTAAGAAAAATAAAAGTGGGATGTTCATTGTTAAGTTATATCTATAGTAGTGCAGTCGAATAGGAAATTATTTTGATAAACAAATGATTAGTTATGTGTACGAGTATATGCCAGACAAAAAGTGTATAAGTGTATTTATTGCAAACAAGCTCAAATGATACAAAATAAATATTCTCGTTTACATATATCATTCGTATCGAAACTGACAATTCTATTTTTAGATTCTAATCCGATGGGAATTTTTCATAGATTGTCTTTGACCGGAACGATTTAACGCGTAAAAATGTGAGACTGGCCCATTAAATTAAAATTGCTGTATTCCTCAAATGCAACGAAAATTATTTTATTGTCTTGTTCTAAACCTTGTACCCTTCTATTATATGAGTTTCAAGATCTCTTTTATATTTATGATTGATAAATTATTTATTTGGCGATGACTTAGTTTTTAATGTTTTAATAATCTTTTCTATGTATAAAATCAATTATGCAATCAATGATTTTATAGGTTATTCAACATGCGCCCATGGTATGACACGTATTGTTTAAATGAGCATGCGATTTCTTTACCTGTTGTAGTTGAATAATGTATGTATATCTGATGAAGTCTGACCGTGGTCAAAATAAACTGTACAGAAATAAATTTGTGTTTGTGTGCATCCAAACTCTTGAATCACTTTATAAAACAAAATAGGACATGAAAAATGTCAATAATTGCTTTGTGTAAATTGACTTCAATGTTTTGAGCGATTAAATAGTTGTGGGTACATATTACAAGGAATATCTAAACAAACATACAATGTACATTTTTTTAATTTTCAGTGGCACAATCGAAGTTTTATTTTAGGTGAAATTTCTCTGGGATAAGTAAGTTTTTGAACAACAAAGGCTTACTCACAAATTTGTTAATTTGTGAACTTTATCATTTCAGATTATAAATTGTGTATATTGCAACTTACAAAGAAATGAAAACAAATTATAAAATGTCATTATGAATTACAGCGTAAAAATAATTTAAATTTGTTTTAAAACAGAATGTATTGTTATAACTTCTTTAACTACAGCAAATTCCATATAATTGTGACGTAGTAGATTATAAAGTTTCTTAGTTCATCTTGCGGTTTGATGTATTTGTTTTTGGTGCATCTACGTTGACGCCCCTTCCTAATATTTGATAGTTTGCATAAATTTGCGGTTTTGGCGTTTCAAACAATCTAATTAACGATATCGTTCGACGAAAAAGATTTGTTCCGAAGCATGTATCTACAAATTGATTTCACCTTTGTACTTAGTGAACACGAAGTGTACATAGAGCCTTTCGCGAAATTCGTGTTGTTGTCGTTGCTGTTGTATAGAAAAATAGACGTATAATACTGCGTATAATTAATACAGCAATCGATTACAAAATTTTGTGCTTGGAAATAGTAGAAGCCGCTAGAAAACTATTACTTTTTTGAGTCTAAACCAGGGTGGTCCAAGGTTGTCGGCTCCGCGGGCCACAAAAATATTGTTGCATTGTTCGCGGGCCACAATAGTACCAAGAATAGGTAAACAGTGCAATACAAAACAAATACTTTTATTGTGCAATCACATAGTTATCATGCATAGCCATTCTAGGCTAATAGAATCCGCATTGGATTTTTAGTTTTCTATTATGCCTATATTGTTGGAATATATTCCAGACCAAAAAGTTAGAAAGCCAGATAACAATTTAGACTGCCAAGCACATCATTCAACTTTGCTAGTTTCCCCAGCTAGCCATAAAACTATTTAATTCAGTGACATTAGTGATGGCAATATGTCAAAAGATTTTTTTGATTAATTTCATGGCGAAACAACACGTAATGCGATTTTTTGATTACTCTCCGAATGTGACGCGGGCCACAGATAATGAACCTGCGGGCCACATGTGGCCCGCGGGACTGGGTTTGGACCACCCTGGTCTAAACTATATGATGTAAACATTTTGATTTTGCTACTTTTGTCTATCGATATTTCGATTTTCACAAACTCGATGTGCGTCGTACTTTACCGGTACCGGTATCTAAAAATTAGTCTAATATATATGATCTTTGTTCTCTTGTTCATTCCTAACTTTTTTTTAGAAATAAAAAGCACTTCGCAAAATACTATTTCGTGCTGAACAATGAAAAATATGTCACTCAAATGTTGTGAAAAAATAACACTTCACACTATTCAATGAACTTTTTTATATTCACATTGGATGTATTCCAACTGTTCATCGACTAAATTGTCATCACTATTCTTAACTTTGTATTCAATGTTCTTTTATAATTAATTTATAGAGATACAAAGTTCGGTGTTAATTATGACGATATTCTATACAATCTTTAATCTCCAATATGCTTTCAAAGAAAAATCCCGACAAACGTCTGGATATGTGTTTAGTATTCAAACATAATAATAATATTGAATCTTGAAAATTTATTATTGTTTATTTTCATTCAATATACATTAGATTAATACTATTGGCAGAAAATAACTTTGCGGTATTAATCAGAAACCTTGCTCATGGTATTTTTACTTTAGGTATTGAATTTTCGACGCTGTACAACACAATATTAAAAAGAAAACAGATAAAAAATATTGATATACATATCTTAAAGTTAAACACCAATAAATCGTCCCAAATTTTACTCTACCCTACATCAACACCTGTGACCTATTACAATATGTGGAATATGATATTACAAACAGCTGGCAGTTTACTAAAGTTTAAACTCTAATTTTAAAGAAATTAGAATATTTAACGTATTATACCATATTCAATTTCAGAAAAAGTTGAATTAATTCTATATTTCAGTATTTTATAGAAGAAGTCATTTCTGCGGAAAGCTTTATTTATTTGGAAGTAAATTTTAAAAATGCAAGACCTGTCTGGTCCGAAAAATATTCATTGTGAGTTTTAATGTAAATACATTATCCTATTGTTGTAAATGAATTTCATGAGTGCTATGTGATATCGTATCATATGATTACGATTTTTTAAATTAACAAGTGAATTATTTAAGAGTCATTTGAAGAAAATGTATTCTGCATTGCATGATGTTGCGAAAATGTATACCTACTACCTACCATGATGTATACCTACTACCTACCTAATATTACGATGCTTTGGAATTTCTTAAAATTTGTGAAAAAATGGTGACGCACATCGAGAAAGGAGACAAAGGTTTTCATTCTATGTGAAAGCTCATCAGAAGCAAACCAGTTTGTGCTTTATGAAATGATGTTTAGAGAGTACTTTACATGGCCCTTCAGAATGAATCATAGCATATTATATAACATTGCTTTTGTACTTGTATTATTACTGCCTTTTGATATTGCTATTCCATATTTTTGGCCAGCATACTGTATAAGTCATAATAAAAGCAATGAATGCCGATGGTCAGTTAAATTGCAGATATTATTTTACTATTTGCCCTTATTTCTGTAGATGGTATTTACCACTTATTATTATTTTTATACATTCAGTTTTTAATATTTACCAACTAAAGATAAGATGACTATAAAATATTGTTTATTATTATTTGTGTTTGCTTCTGTTGATGGAATGCAGAAATGTGATAAAGTGTTGCCTTGTAAAAATACCGATTGGACCAAGGTGAGTGCGTAGTTTTTGCGGAAAAATAAATAAAAATTTTCCCGAAGATAGCCAAAATTTCTCCAATATTCTGCAAAATTTATAAAGTTTTTTGTATATAGAAAAGCAATATTCTATACATACTATTTATAGCTAACTGCGAATATATGATATAAAAATAAGTAAACAATATACAGGCTAACAGTAAACATAAAAAGCAAATTAAAATCGATTTGGTAACAATCAGTATTAACTAACAGTTAGTTACGTTATATCCTGGTGTCTGCATTTCAAAGTACTGGTTATGTTCTAGTTGCTTGGATCTTGGCACCATCTGATGTATATTCCTGGCGGAAATTCATTTCTGACATGCAGGAAAATGCGGATTAATGATGTCGACCTTGCCTCAAAGACCGTCAGTGTAAATTTTAATGACGGTGCGAAGTAAGAATTTATTCGATTTTGATAAATGTAATAAAAGGTGAAAATTAGATAGTTGTAATCTGTTGATTCAATACTAAAGATTCAAATATGCAGATTTTCAAATGAACATGGTATTATAAAGATTAAGATATTATAATATATAGACGGTGCAAAATAAGAGATATTGTATATTGTCAACTCCAACTCAATCCTGCAATGTTGAATGTTAAACTTACTTCATAAAAATCACTATACGTTTTTCGTATGAAATTTTTAAAAAGATATTGTTTTTATGCAGAAAATTAAAATCCTTATTTCTTTGCAAACAGATATACCTGGAATCCAAAACTTGTTCGCCACGACTTTGTTTACTTTAAATGGGCTGATAATCAAGCCGTTATTTCAACCGGAATAAAATCAGGTAGAGTACACGTAAAAATATCATTCTCAAATATTTATAAGCTTTTAGTGTTGGAAAGTAGAAATACATTTTTGCACACAAGATGACATTTGTTGAAATGAAACACTTATTCATGTTAAGATATTTTCAGTTTAAAAACTCTATTTTGACACGTTTTTATGTTATTCATTTGGACTATTATAAGTTTAAGAAGATAAACAATATAAAAGCATAATTTCGTTTTATAGCATATGGAGGAGACTTCAAGTACTCAAGTAAATTTGCAGCAAAGCGAAAATCATTGGCAAAAAGTTTAGCAGGTAGTATTCACGTTCAAATAAGACCATCTTGTTTGAAACTAACAAAATTACCTATAGCCCTAATGAATACATAAATTGAACACTAAATCACTTTTATTATACCAATAATTTTCTTGTAACTTTATAATTATTGAAGATGAAGGCTTTTCAAATGTTTAAATATTCCTGATTTTTTTTACTTGTTCAACTACCTATTGATCAATATTTATTGAATTGAGCAGTAGATAGAATTGCTTGAATTGTTTGTTATGTTTGCTACATAAATGTTTTTTTTTTTTTTTTCCAGAAACGAAATCGAAGTACACAGTGGTTTCAACAAATAACAAAGACTATATCATATTAATACAATGCCAGTACGGAGGTAAGATGATATTTTATATTTTTCGATTTTGCGGCCATACGAGACATACCCAAATATATATAGCGTGATTCTCACATAGCACCTTTAATTTATCATGTCATATAACTTATGTGCCTTTTGTGTGGCAAGAATGTCACTTTATAGTTTTAATTAATTAAAACAGCGTCAAACTTCTCCATTCGGCAGAGAATATAGTAAACCAGTCTTTACGTACATATATATTAATCACATTTTATTTAAAATGCATAAACACATTTGAACATATAAATACCTTGTAGGCGAGGTGAAAATACCACACAGTGGCGTGTTTAGTTTCCGCCACGAGTACTCGTGACTGCTCGAATAACCGAAACAAATAACACAATACACGGTACACAGTAAAGCATCTTCCTGCACAAATGGCGACATTGTTTGGTCGAAAACATTCAACATCTTGCTATTTACTCTTTATAGAATAACACACACGGTTGATCCTAAACGAACAAGCAGACTTTTAACTGAAAGCCGCTTTAATCTATGAGAAGGCAAACATTTGGTTCGCTAGAGCCCACCAGTCTAACAACGCCCGGATTAAGTTGTCCGTAGGGGTGAAAATGCCAAGCATTGTCAACTGAGGCATCGGGTTTTTGCCTAATATAACATCATTTATGGTCTAATAAGCATATAATACCAGAAGCAGATAAGGTTTACCCGGATTGTTATTAATAAATATTATTCCAAACTAGGCAATCATTATTTCCGATTTTAAACGATTCATTCAATGGTCATCACATGTCACAAATGCATTATAAACTCCAAAATTGGTATATTAAAAATGGAAGGCTAAGTCAGACTACAGATTTCGATTATGCTGTGTCTTCATGGTGCGATGCTTTGAATCCTATTTTCAATTTTTAGAAAAACACTAAGGCAGTTTTACAAACATGTTTTTGGATTTATGTAATAGGATTTGTAAAACGCTTGTCATTATCAATTTATATACAACAAAACTTTTGTTTTTAGTGCTTCCGAATGTCTGGATTTCGATTAAAAATATTTACGTTGATGACGAACGAGCTGACATGATACGAAACGAGCTGATATCATCGGGAATCGACGCAAGCAATCTAAGCTTCAACGAAACCAATTTGTGCATGCAGTGATCAATGCTTCTTGTTGACGTTTCTTGTTTTGCATTTTTGCTGCCAATATGTTTCTCTCTTTTTTTGATTTAAATATTTTCTTACTTTTTCTTTAATTTATTCAGCTTTGTTTGTTCAAAACATGAGCTCGAAAACGCTAACTTTAAAAATAAAATAAAATACCTGAATCAAAAAGTCATAATTTCAAGAAAAAATGTTTTTAGGAAAATCAGTGTTTGTTATTTATGATAAATTTTAAAGAAGAATGAATTGCTAAAACACAGATTCAAATAGTCTCTTAAATAATGTTAGTTAAGTTTTTAGAGTATATATATATGATAATAATCTTAATGAGTCGTAGCATGTATTGTTTATCCACAAAATAGAAATGGAAAGTAGATTTCTGAGATGTAGGAATGTGGCTACAAAACCGAAACTCATATACATGGCTGCATGATGACCCATGTCTTCATCAATATTGGGAAGTGTCTCTTTGTTTGTGTTAAATACATTGCCTTGTTGAAATGTATGAAACTCTTGAATCTGCAAAAAAATTGTGATACTACGGAAAATTATTAAAAATGTCAGGTATTAGAAATTTATGGCTTATATGAGTGGGAAAATATTGCAATTTCGAATATTGTAACTAAACCCTTATTGACACGAAAATGCATACATGCTCAAATGCATTTTAAACACCAACATGGGAATTCTAAAAACGGATGGCTAAGTCGGACTATAGATTCAGATTATGTTGTGTCTTCATGGTGCGATGCGGTGAGGCATATATTTTAATTTTAAGAAAAACACTAAGGCAGTTTTACAAACAGGTTATTGGATTAATGTAATAGGATTTGTAAAACGCTTGTCATTATCAATTTTACATAAAACAACACTTTTGTTTCGAGTGCTTCCGAGTGTCCGGATTATACATTTGCGATAAATATACAATAAATTATAATAACCACTACGGAAATATATCAAAATTGTCAGGTATTAGAAATCTAACGATTATTGATGCTTAATTTCTACAGCAGCAACTATTCCTACGAAAAGAGAAAAAGAAAGATGCGTGAATACAAAACTGTTTTATTTTTCAAATATGAACTTAAGAGTTGTTGATACAATTTCCGATTACAAGATACGCACAGTTTTATTAGAATAATGATTATAATTATAAATGATAAATGTTTAATATATTCATATCTTGGATTTGATCTTTGATATGATTAATTTCCATTAGTGGTAACTGTGGGCTGACGACAAGACATGTTTTTTGTCAGCATACCTTTGATCGCTTTTGTGGCTCCAGTTACAAGAAAGAGCAAAAAAGATAGAAGATGGGGTATACTTATCATGGCAAATTAATTTAAAAAGTAATTGATGATATGACAAATTGAGTGACTTTGAAATACAATTCGCATTTCCTTACATATGTATGTTAATTCAGTTTCTCAAAAAAGGTGTTGCACGACTGCGGCAAAAGGTGAACTCGGTTTTATTAAAATTTCCTAAATCGTAGCCACTGATAGAGCTATAGCTGTTGTTTGTTGTTATTGACTATAGGAAGACGCCCGTGCCTTTAATCTGATGTGGTTTCATAATTTTGGGGTTTCACATCGAAAGATAACGTTCCGTTGTCGTATGCAGAATGCAAAAATCTCATTTAAAAAGTTCAACTTGAGTTACAGTTTGTATACTGTAGAACAACATCAAAACATGATCTCAGATATGGGATCAATACATGGCGATGTTATCGTAAATCCAAACGCTGAGGCAAGTATTGAAACAAAACATTTATGAACTACCGAAAAAACACTTGGGGCAAATTGGCGTAACTGCAAAAAAATTACGCTGTGACATAATACTTTTTTTTTATTTTGTTAAACTTTAATTAATAGACCATTTTCTGTGTTACATTAGATCGAATCATAGCAATGTAAGATGTAGTTGAACAAAAACATAGATACTTCTATGCAGAGAGTTTAAATTTTTATATATATGAAAATATTGGAAATAATACCCATGCAAGTTTATCTATTCCAATAGCTTTCAAAAAAAATATTTCCTTCTTGAAAACAAAAAAATGACTAACGACCCAGAACAGTATCTCATTTAACTCTTTTTATAGAATACGTAACGTGGATTGAATTACTCACAAAAAAAATCCGGTTTTCCAAATATATATAGTAGACATATATAGTTTATAGTAGAGAATGTTTTAAAGTAAATACGACCATCCTAAGCTTGACATAAAATAGGTTTTTTCAAGTTATTTAATTTATGTTTTTTGTATATTGGTATGATATGGTTAGTGTGAACGTTTGCTCGCACAGTAGTTGATTATAACAATTTGCTTGTCTGTGGAAACGTTTGTAAATATTCAAGGATTTGGAAGCGTGAGAACTCATTGTTGTTTACATATATCTGATTTCCCTCCTTATTCTTCTTTAGCATCACTACCTCACAAGATATGTCATGGAATAAATTGTGTATTTTGGGAGGAAACTACAACAATGTCGTGCCGCTTTCCCTCGTATATAAACTACCTGTCCCTTGAATGCATTGTCAACATTTGCATGTGCGTGATGTAGAGTAATGTTACATCTTGGTCTGCGGTTCTCTTCCATCTACGACGGCGTTCAAGTTCATATTTTTTTATTTATCACAACGAGCTTGTGTTAGCCTTCCAAACAACAATTTGCAGTCGATTTATTAAAATGGAATATTTTAAAAGAAAATACCAAAGTGAATCGTAAAAAATAGAAATAAGTTAATATCTTTCGAAATAGGACCTGACAAGCAAAGAGATAAGTAGGAAGCAAAAGATATATCGAAGAGAAAGAGGGTGTAAGATATATCATATTATTTACTAATTTCAGGTCTTTCACCGCGAATATATATGAAGCAATAACGTCTCAGATTGTATAAAGGCCGTCATTATTACCAGCAGAAAACACAGCTGAAATGAAGGCTGCACTGGGCAGTATCAGTGGGAATTGCAAAACGCACATTATCATAAATAGCAGTCCAGTAAAGATGCCAAACCTTTGCTTCCCAACTTTCGTAGTACCCGTAATTGGCCGCTACATGTCGCGCCGCATTTGTCTCCGAGATGACGTTAATAGCAATTAAATTATCAGCTTGTGTGATACCATCTTGAAATTCCGTCAACACTCATTCGGTTTGCATTAGAAAATTCAACTTTTTAAACGAATTTTCATGCTTCTCGAAAATCCACGTAACAAATGTATTTTACCAAATACACACAGTAATCCAAAGCAGTTCAAAATAAAATATACACAAAAGAAATTATCAAACAACAAAAAGCAGCACTTACCTAGCGACAGGGGGTATATGGATTTCGGCGGAAAAGATTGAAAGTTAAACAGCACCTTCCATTGAATGTGGGTCAAATTGGATGAAGTGAATTTGTCGAAGAGTTTGGCTATTTATAGCTAAATGTCTTTCCATCGTTCCGGTGTGGAACTGGTGTCATAGGTATAAATCAAGACTTGTAACAAACCGATTCTAATGAACTGACCAGAATGTACTTTGCAGAAAGCTTAATGTACAACCAGATGGGGTAATGTAAAATAACTCGCCGGATGTGTCCTTAGTTAATCGTGAACCCAAATCAGGCAGTTCTCCGACTTCGAATTTTTTCTTATTTTCTCTATACATTTTTTACCGTACATTTTATTTTTAGGAAGGCGATATTTACTCATTCCCAGCGGGTGATTTGTTGTTCTCTTCGCCATACGGCGAGATTCTAGACACTAGATTATTATGGAGGTAATCAGCCGACTCGATGACGATAGTCGAAGTGTCAATCAGTTTGCATGGCGTGTGTTGTGAGGTAGTGATCGTTCACAAAAAAAGCTTTTGTTTTTGTTTACATAGCCTTTCCAAAGCAATCGCATGCTTTTAATATGTTAGCATTGAGATACAGATAGGAAAGGGGAACAGTTTTCTTGTATATTGATATTTTCCTCGATTTGAGTGAGAATCGCCATACCTTTAAACAGGTTTCACGGAATGAGACTTGCAATGATGCAAAGATGCGGTTGAATTAGTTTGGAGGGTGTGAAATACAGTTAAGGTTCACTTCACGTTACTTTGATAGAAGATAAGAGATAAGAGCAGATACAAGATACGACGTATCGGAGATATATAAAATTTGTGCATTTTTTATTGTGTGAACATATATATTCTGTCATATATATTCTAAACTGTATAAATTGTAATATTTTGAGAAGACGACATTGTTTCAGGGAACTTGGTATTGCAATCGAAAAAACGTCGTATCGCGGATTCTGGATGAACCAGGAAATTTACAGAGAAGCCGCCATAAGGATAACGACAAATCCGAGAAACCATCGCGAGAAAGTGACGACGAGCTCTAATCGTGGATGATAAATTGAATTGGACATAGCGTGTATTCAGAATGATACAAATGATATAAACTAATTAAAGACTTACTTATCAAGCTACTGTCAAATGTATTATGAAAATATAGAGTTCCACTTGTGATAGATCGGAAATAACAAAGCTCAATCATAATAAACGTTTTCTTGGAGGCCTATGATCTGTATAAAAATCTCAATATTATATTCGATACACAAATCGCGAAGTGGAAAATGTGCGTCATCTTTGCAATTAAACCTTATATAACATTTCTAATCGTTAGTGGACGATGGTGATGTGAAAACAACAAACAGTTCTTGGAGACAACAAATAAAATTACTAAATTATTTTTGAGTGAAGAGTATACTGTTTTGATTTCACTGACCTGTGACATTTTCATGCGTGATGATACGACTACATAATAAACATACGATATAGCTTGAATACCGTATTGATCTTCGGAAAAACGCTAAATTTTTTGAACTCTTGGAATGAAACGCACCAGTATCCAGTTTCCAGAGTTTATCAATGCAGTGGCACAAAGTCGTATTGTATTTTCTATTGAACACTAAGTGTCCATACGGATCGTTCTGGATCACGGATCACTGTTGTGAATGACTGTTTCAACACTTAAAGGTGGTTGTTGTCAAAATGTTTGACCATTGAACTTTTGTTTATTTATATATTTGTACACGCGATATATGCATTCAGGCAAAACATTGTTTATTAATATATGATAAAAAGATTAGAATACGAGCTTTTCAAACCTTTATTATACATTCAGTAAATATACGTTGATTGAAAGGGTGCCACCTTTGGAAAAAAGACTGTGATATTCTCAACTGTGAATGTGTGAAAGCGATTGATAAAATCTAGAGCAATTTCTAGATTCTATAGAGTTTCCATTTGATGAGATTTTCCGAATTCAGCAACTGGATCGTATTTTGAAACTTTGAAACAACTGAAGAACTGCCTGCGTGGTTTATTCTTTGCATTAGAACGATTTATACTTAGATATATCACAAATTAAAATGTTGAGTCAATGTCTGAAAAAAATGTTGACTTGTTATCACACGCTCCCGTTTTCTGTTAAGGCTTAACATGCCATACTAGAAGTACCCCTAGGCCTTTTCACAAAACTATTTTTAGAATCAAATCGAAAACTTTTTTCTGGTCGAATCTCATCTCGAATACGTGGAAGATATTTGACTTAATACGAAACTATGTGATGGGGTTTTTAATATATTTTGAATTTAGAAAGCAGAACAACAATCCACAAATATATGTAAACATAACTACATCAACCTCCGCGTACGCTGTTCTGTGAGCATAAAATGTCGAAATTAAACAGTTTAAATCCGCGTGATGACGCTCGTGCAACCTAAAACACAACAACCTTTTTTGAAATCCCATGTAATCCCATAATGTAGTAAAGACAATACTCAACGTAACATTAAAATCTAATACTTGTCAATTGAGAAGAAGCATTGAATGACCGTCAACGCTCAGTCAGCTAAGGGTTAAATTCAAGCGACGTTTTATCATCACAATAATAACAATATCGTTGTTCCTTTTATCAAGCTGATCTCTATTTTGATAAAAGTCAGATCCTTGCCACACGATGGCTTGCTGTATCTACGAATTTTGCTTTACCACGGTGTAAAATATATTATTTGTGCAAAGCATAGTCTTAGAAACACAGGGGTGGGGGTGGGGGTGTACAACCCTTCGATTAAATTGTCGGTTTACAACTGCAAACTCAGAATCTGAAATAAAGCAACACATTTATTTTGTCCCATTCCATTATATTTCAACTTCATCTATCACTTATTTCCATTTCAAATGTGAGAGAAAAATATAATTTTCATGAGGCACGAATGAGGATTTTGAAACAAATTGTAATACACACTATATGTCGCTCCCGTAGTATGTGTGCCAAGATGACGCACAACCTGAACATAGTATAGGTACCAGATTAGGGTTATCGGGTTGTGCGCCATCTTGGTACATATACTACGGGAGCGCCCACTATATTTCACTAAAATAGTTACCAGTCAAATTTAACATCAGTCATGGTCAAGCAATTTCATCAAGATGTATTGCATATTTGACCACCCTTTCATAAATTTCAAATTTTTACTCTTTAAACGGTAATCCCGCAGTGTGTGTACCAGGTTAGAATTAGACCATAATTTTATTCCGATTTTCCTTTTTTTAGGTCTATTACGAGTTTAGGGACTGTTTGTGTTAGGCAAGTGAATATACCCCCTGCCCATGGGTTTCAGTCTCTTTACACAACTTGATGTAAATAGGAGAACAAAATCAGTTACCTTTATATTGGTACACACACTTCTGGAGCGCTTCAAATAATATTACCAAAATTTGTTAACAGAAAATAGAAATCACATTTGGCTTTATTTAATTTTTAAATACTAATTTTATGTTACTCTTAGGTGCAAAATAATCAACCAATAAAAATCTCCTTTGGATATAGATTTTACCCCAATATTAGTGTTTTTCAATGTGGTAAAGAAGTAAAGCTTTTAATTGCATGGGCAACATAATATAAGTTTTGTGTTTGCACAACATAATTAGAAATAAAACACAGGAAAGTAAGATTTACCAAATATCTAACTAATAATGATAGTTGTATTGTTAATGTTATCATAATCAACTAATATAATTAAACTGAAATGAAAAGGTATAATTGTTAAGTTGTGATAGTTTCAATTCAGTTCTTTAATTTGTGAATTTTGATCTCTTCTTGCTTGTAGAGTTTTTTCGAAAGCGGAACGCCAAAGAAAATCGGCACGATTAGCATTGCCGAACGGATTGATATTTCTTTTGTCACTAAAAACAAAACGAGCAAGTCTTACATGAAGCGTTTAATATAAAGCAAACAAGTTAGATCAGATTATCAGAGAGCGTTTGGCTCGATGCAATATAAAATTTTAGTGATAGTTTCAATTGTTATTTCAAATAACTATCATGCCCCACATATATACAAAGCAAGCAACTAAGATTTTACAGAATAACGAAAACGGGCTCTGCTTTGGTGCAATTATTTTTGTGTAAAATGTATTTTTAGCCACGGCCTTCAAACACATTGAATATCGAAATTACTTCACGCAAGCATCTATAAAATACTTGCTTGAATGATAATATCTCAGAGCAATTGAAGGGATTAAAAATTTTACAAATACAAAACACGTTAAACTATATTGAAAAAAAAATGCATATTGCATAAGGATAAGCCATACATACCAATCTAAAATTAGCTCAACAATCGCTTCTGTTGAGACTTCTGTCATTTCTGTTTGGCTGCAATCGTCTGCTTCGATTTGTCGCCCCCCCCCCTTCTTTGCGAACATTCTGCTTCGTTTTTTCTTATCTCTGCTATCACAATTTGGCGTAATTCTTCCTTTGTCAAAGGCGAATTGTTTTTCTTTCGATCTTCGTACCACTTCGCGTACGTCACTTGGATATTAACTACAAACAGAAAGAATCGAAGTAATGATTTTATCTAACCGTTCAATACATAGATCTTAGAGTGGGTCAACCTAGAATGCAGAGAGTGTGTCAACCTGTATAAATACTCTATCTACTTTTACTTGAAAACAAGATGCCATGAAAATTTACACAAACGCATTTATTGCAACAAACAAGCTTAGATTTATTTAAATAATATAAATAAAACGCTTCCTAGGATTTTCACCTGACAAGTTAATTCCCATTGCGAATATTTTCTTCTGATACTTTAATTGAGATACTATTTCAAATGTTATAATTAAATATAAAAAACAAGATATAAACAAATAAAAATTTGCTCAGTTATAGTCCATTTTTATATCATGAAATAATTTAGAATGGAATTATATCTGAAGATACAATATTGCCTCGTTCTACTGAAATCTCGACAAAATAAAAATTACATTTATTTACCTACTAATTTAAAGTAAGTATGCGATTTTTTTAATGTGGCTTTAAAATATCTGTCATTTAAAACAAAATTCACACTTCTAGGAACCTTTTCTATCTATTCTTCCGCTCTATCTTGAAAATATTGGCATTGTGTTGCTACGATATCAGATCAACGCTACCGAAAACCCCCAATATATATTTACCCTCCCGTCGCTTACACTGCGTATACTTTTGTTCTCTTTCCTGATTTTCATAATAATCCATCTACGGGTAATAATTACATTACGTGCGAGACTTGACTCTAGGGTCTCATATGTGAAGCAAATATTATAGACGCTACTTGGTACAATATTTGTATACAGTCCTTATGTTACAGCTGTGTTACATTCATATTTTCTCTTTCCTTTTGTTTGCTCACATTTAGAAAGCATAAAACTTTATTGTTTTATAGCTTTCGTTGCTATGTTTCCCAAAATAAAGATTGGTTGGCTTGAATCTACGTTGAAAAATATCGTAAAATAATTTGTGAATTGGTGGTTATTAAAAATGATCAAAGTAACAGAAAATTAGGACACTGAACTGTCAGTTGTGAGGAAGGTACAAACAACCTAAATAAGGGTTTCATTATAATATTATGGTATCATTACACCACTTATAGCAACTTGATCCCTATTTACTGAAAAGTCAGGTCCTTGTTAGCTATATGAAGGGTTGGTATATTCTACATATTTTGTTTATATATTTTATATGGAATTAATTATATTATGCGAGCAAAACATATTCCTTGTAACTTTACCTGTGTAGAACCTGCCTCCTAGGTAAAGTTGAATAAATTGTCGTTTAAATTATAACTTCAAACTTGATAGATGATATATAACAATACAGATTTTCCCATTGGATTATATTTTTATTACATATATCTTTTATTTCCATTTCGAATGTAAGATAAAAATATGATTTTCATGAAGAACGAATGAGGAAATACGAAGAAAGTCACTATCATTCACTATATTTCACTAAAATAATTATCAAACGAAAAAACATGTCAAATTTAACACCATTCATGATCCAATAGAAATGTAATCGAACGGGACAAAATACATGTGTTTATTTCAGATTCTGAGTTTGCAGTTATATAATTTACGGGTTGTACACCCCCCATGTGTTTCTAAGACTATGCTTCGCTCTAATTGTATTTTTTATTCTATGATAAAGCAAAATTTGTAAAAAGAACAGCAAGCCTTAATGTGGCGAGGACCTGACTTTCTAGCAAAATATAGATCAACTCGATAAAAGGAACAACGATATTGTTAGTATTGTAATGATAAAGTTTTGCTTAAATTTAACTCGTAGCCGACTGATCGTTGAAGGTCATCGAAAAAGGTTTGCACGAGCGCCATCATGCGGATTTCAAACTGTTTTTTTTTTTCGGCATCGCATGTTCGCAGAACAGCGTACGCGAATGGTTGCGGAGGAGGTAATTATGTTTACATATATTTGTGGATAGTTGAACCGCTTTCTAAATCAAAAATTCATTAAAAACACCATCATATAGTATCTGACCTTTGAATTCTGCCGCTAAAAGGCTATTGCATATCAAGTGCGTCACCCGAATCTCTCGACAAACACAATAATATCTGAATAGTATTGATATGCATTGCTACAGTAGTTAAACAAGAAATCTTCTATTTTAAGTTAACGCTATCCAATATTATATAGTATATATCGTCACGCTAATAACCGAATTGCGTAAGTCATTTTTAGCAGTTTTGAGAAAAACGTAAAAAACTTCCTAATGATTTTGTTATGCAATTGAGAGTCAATAATTTGCCATGGTTCAATTTTTTGATCGTAGCCGGATTTAAGTTAATTTGTATGACGCAGTTAAGTGACGTCATAATGCCGCACTGTGACTTAGGCAGAAATGTGTCTATGACTTGGTGACATACCCAATTTTGCAACTTCACTATATGCACCAGTCCTGAAAACTAAACATTCCAAAAACGAATGTAATTCTCAGTATCTACAATGTCTAATCCCCAAAATAGCTAATCAGTTTCAATTACATCATTTTTTATGTTCAAAAATATATATTTCATCAATATAACACGTTCTGCACACCCCCCGAAATAGGACTAAGTTTAAATATAAAGAATAAAACAGCAATGCACCCAATATAAAAGCCAACCAAGGTAAATTTGACTCGGACAGTGAATATCACAAGTGCACGTGTTCCTATACTGTAGTAAAAATTCAAATTAATACGCGCTAAGCTAGAATCCGAGATGCAAAAACTCGAAAATACTTCGCCGAGGTTATTTTGCCTTTGTGACGTCACAATATTACTGCGGTAACAAGGATAATTCATTATGACGAAACAATTGCACAAATGTGCATGTCATACTAAATCTCCATTTTCATGGGTTTCGGAATTCCTAAAATAAAATCTGAGTTAATTAACAGACAGGTGCGCAGCATTACATAAATACCTATTCTATAAAAAACTCAAAATCGCCAAAAATGACTTACGCAATTCGGTTATTAGCGTGACGATATGCTCTGTGTGCAACTTCTGATGTCGATTAAAATTTAATTTTTACCAAATAACGTATAAAAATATGTAGCACGTTTAAATCCTCATTCTTTATCTTGTTGAAAATATAGCTCGAATAACCCTACCACATACCACTGTTAGACGCTCCCAAGGCCTTATGTCGTTCTGTAAAACGCTACTGGTTTGTAATCTTATAGTTGGGTCCGGGCATTTTGAATAATAACAAATTATTCGAATTTGATCCAACGAAAATTTCGAATTACCGCCATCTTGCTTTTTTGTCCGCCCGAGGTCTAGGTAAATTCTACAATTTTCTTTTTCATTTCATTATTCATTTTTGTCATATTGAAAATTTGTAATTCTGATATATGACTATTGATAAAACATGTTTTTTATAGAGTGCTACAACTCCGCGAACTGGCTGAATGATAAATTCTATGTTTATAAGTAGGGTCACATACAATTATGTCGTCGTATTAAGTCAAATATCTTCCACGTATTCGAGTTTAGATTCTACTCGAAAAAAGCATTGGATTTGATCCTGAAATAATTGGTTTTTTGAAAATGCCTAGGCCTACTTCTCGTATGGCATGTCAGCCTTAACAAGTTTTTATCTATCACTTTTACACACAGTAGAGAATATCAAAGTCCTTTTTTCCAAAGGTGGCACACTTTCAATCAATATATACTTACTAAATGTAAAATAAAGGTTCGGAAAGTTTGTATTCTAATATTTTTATTGTATATGAATAAACAATGTTTTGCCTGAATGCATATACCACGTGTACAATTGTATATTTAAACGAGAGATCAATTGTCAAACATTTTGACAATAACCACCTTCCAAGCGCTGCAACAGTCATTCACACATCAGGTACAACAACAGTGATGCATGATCCAGAACGATCCGTATGAACACTCTGTATTCAATAAAAGATACAATAAAACTTTGTGCCACTGCATTGATAAACTCTGTAATTACATGTTTATGGAAACTTGAGACTTCTGTATTAGAATCACGCATGCGTATACGACAATGTTGAACACTGTGCATTTTGTTCCAACACTTCAGCGTTGTAGAAATGTTATCTTAGGTTTAATTACAAAGATGACGCACATTTTTCACTTTGCGATTTGTGTATAACTATAATATCTTGAGTGTAATATTGAGATTGTTACATAGATCACAGGCCTCCAATGAAAGGTTATAATTATGATTGGGCTTTGTTATTTGCAATCTATTAGAAATGGAACTTTATATTATTTATAATAAGATTGGCGGTAGCTTAGTAGGTAAGTCTCTAATTGAGTTTATATAATTTAGATGCGCAATTCTAAATACACGTGCTCGTTGAATTGGCGTTTGGTACGTTCCGGCTCCGTCGATCAGTTATGTCGCACTTCTTCATTATATCGGAGCCTTGAACATTTGCAACCACAGTCCGACTACCTCCAGCTGTTTCCATAGCACAATATGCAAATATAATCGTGTATCGAAAGTTTTGGTGTAAAAACAAATAAGAAGAGAGATAGCGGTTAAAAACCTCAGAGAAATCGAATATTTTCAGTTTAGCTAGCATAACAATAAACCAAGCCTAATGGTGACATTTCCCATATGTCCCGATTTTTTTGAAGGTCGTGTTACAAGGGGACCAAGATAAAGTACGAAGACAGATGCAAATGTCCACAGCCAATAACTGTGCAAGACCGGAGATTTTGAGTGGGGTTGGTAACGTGATATACATATACAACCAAAAATATACATATAGCGCAAACTAAATATACATATAGCGCCAACTAAATATCCATATACAGCCAAGGTCATATCCATATACAGCCAATTAATATCCAAATACAGCCATTTAGGTGATGTTCAAATACTGCCAAGTCATATGCATGTACAGCCAATTGGATATACATAAGATATAATAAGTGTGTTAGGGTTAGGGTTTTAAAAATAACTCTCAGAAACTCTAAAACGGCTTTTGATGAAGCTACTTACAATAAGTGTAAAATATACGTAATAAAATATTGTGATATTAGCATGATTTAGTCTCTAGTGACAAGTAAGTCTCTACATGTTATTTGTTCGAAGCTTACAATCCCAACCTCTCGTGGTGCATGAATACATACAATAAGTTGCAATCCATAATGCCATAAGATAAAGCCCCACAACAACTGATTGTGATAACATGAGAAATGTGTCGCTGCCAACGAAGACATTGAAAATCTCTTTTGATTATTCGTTTTTTATTTATTTGGTTTTCTTTGGTTATTTTGTCAACAAACTAATCAAATTAAAGTTTGGTGCAAACTATCATTACTCACATTACATATTGATTATTCGAGAAAGCATCGCCAGATTTATGTTTATATGAGGAGACCATACTAGTTGACGCATTGGAGTAGTGTGTTTACGCTTACAGAAACTCCATAAAGGCTATTGATTGAAATATAAAAAATTACTTGCAACTAGCGTAAAGTAGATATAATATTGATGAGCATCATTCCATGATATGAACATCATTCAGCATTAGCCTTT